TCATAAGTTGCAATCTATACTCGATAACCGATCATCCGCCGACTGTATATATCTGGATTTCGCGAAAGCATTTGATAAGGTATCTCACCAGCTCCTGCTACTAAAACCAAAAAAAATAGGTATTGATATTAACATACTAAAATGGCTTGAATGCTTTCTCACACATCGTCAGCAATTTGTAACCGCGAATGAAGTCAGCTCTCTCCTTCACCCTGTAATATCTGGCGTACCCCAAGGTACTGGACTTGGGCCATTACTTTTCCTTGTCTATAATAACGATCTACCAAACTGTGTATCATCTTCGATTCATCTATTCGCAGATGATTGTGTTCTTTACCGGGAAATAACCTCTATCAATGACGTGCATGCACTTCAATCTGATATTGACGCTATCACTTCTTGGTGCAAAACGTGGCATATGACACTAAATGTTAACAAGTGCAAATTCATGCGAATCTCTCGTTGTTCCGCTAACTTACCTTCATATCACCTTGATAGTAGTCTACTCGAAACTGTCGAATCATACAAGTATTTAGGCGTCCATATTACTTCTAATCTTAGCTGGCAAATTCACATCGACTCCATTACTAACAAGGCTAACCGTATGCTTGGGTACCTAAAACGCAACTTTTACTCGGCCCCTACTTCTATTAAATTACTGTTCTACAAAACAATTGTGCGCTCACAACTAGAATATGCTTCAGCGATATGGGATCCTGGCATCGGAACTCTCGTTAATCAGTTGGAAATGATTCAAAATAACTCGGTTCGATTTATATATTCTAACTACCAACGAGCTGCTAGCGTATCCTCCATGAAATCTAACCTAGGTCTTTCTTCCCTAGCGTCACGACGCAAAAACGCACGACTTTGTTTGTTCCATAAAATTTTCCACCACACCACTTTACGCGGTGAACTGTTAACATCACCTTCATACATGTCGTCACGGATGGATCACCCACATAAAGTAGGAGTCATTTCATGCAACACTAATTCCTTTTTTTATTCCTTCATCCCACGTACGTCTAGTGACTGGAACCACCTTCCCTCTCTGATAGCCACTATTAATAATTATGATTTGTTTCAATCTGCCTTAAAAAATATATCTGATTGATTATTTAACTGTATTAGTAGAAGACGTTGTGTTTGCCGGTTTCAGGCTAGTGGACTATATAGTATCAAAGTGTATTAATCATTTGTAACCATTGTTGTTGTTTTTTTATTTTCTTTCGTGTATGCTTTCCCAATTATTATTCCATTTTACTTATTGTATTTGCTGTACCACTCCCCTCTATAATGCTTCATGCCTTGAGGGTATTTATAAATAAATAAATAAATAAAATTTACCCGTTCTTGACGCATATCTTTTATGGACATCAAACAGATTTATTGGCATCTAATAACGTTTATTGTATAGAATAGATATATATTACATTCTATTCGATTTTCACAATGATCTTGCTTTGGTTTCCTGATATGTCTAGAGCTTCGCTTATTTTAAGAACAATTAAACACTGTTTGTGTATTTTGTTGCGCTATCTGTCAAATGGCAGGCAAAACTGCTGATTTCTAATGTTGGAAAAATTTTCGAGGGCAGCGATGGCATCTGTATCTTCATCAATGTCCGTGTCTTTTTACCTTCACATTTAGAAAATATATTGGAAGATTTACTATTGACAAATGAGAAGTTTAAGTACTGGGTCAGGTAATAGATCCAAGATAAATGATTACAGAAGCGTAGATACAATGTGTTCGTTATTCGATATGATTGAAATCAATAAACAATAAAGACGAAGAGGAAAAGAATATAACCGAGTTCACTTCATGCCTAGAGCCACTAAATGAGCTGCGCTTAGAATATTTTCACTCCGTTCCCCAACATTGTTGTGGGCGCCGCAATTTTGAGTCTTGTGCAGAGCAAACGCAACTGCCGATCGTCATGATTCAAAAGTGCGACTTCCTCAGCATTAGATCCGGTGTTAGAAAGCTTATACAATATTGCTTTGCTCTGACGCGGACTGTTTAAACATTTGTGGAGGACGGAAAAGCGTTTCTTGTGATTTTAGATAAAGCTTCAGATAACTGGTGACCATGATTTTAAGCCACAATATACCCAAGTGTCGTTACTCTGAAGCGCAGCTTATTTAATGACATTATTCATGCCCTTGTTCAAGGAGCTTGTGATATCTGAAGGGGCCATATGGCGTAACCCCCCCAGGTTCCACAAGCCAGTACCTTTTGACGCCTGCCTCTCCCTCATTGTTCACGCTAGTGTCACTAAATTAGCTACGCTTCAAAGTAGCGACACTCGGCCATATTGTTGCTTAAAATCATGGTTGCCAGTTATCTGAAGCTTTATATGAAATCACAGGAAACGCTTTTCCTTCCTTCACAAATGTTTAAACAGTTCGCAACAAAGCAAAGCAATATTACATGAGCTTCCTAACACCGAATCTAATGCTGAGGAAGTCGCACTTCTGAATCATGACGATTGGCAGTTGCCTCTGCTCTGCACAAGCGCCAAAATAACGGTGCCCACAACAATGTCGGGGAACGGAGTGCCAATACTTTAAGCGCAGCTCATTTAGTGGCTCCAGTTCCCGAGAACCTCCTTTCCCCTGACTGAAACTGAAACTAAATATGAATAATGCACCATTATTATAGCTTATTTGGTTATAACTAACTACACATAATGAGAGGAGAAAGCCGCCGGGTAGGAGAAACGCGGGTTTTATGTGCGACCGTTCTCACCGTCTCAGAAGAGAGAACACGCGAGCTTTCGCTGGTTTAAAAAAGACGATCCAAAGATCCGAGAGCCCGTGGCAAACCGCCGAACTAGCACACTCTAGCCGAACCGCATCAATTACTACCTAGAGCCACTATATACGGCAGCGTAGCTGCCAGAGTAGCGACACGACGCAAAATTACCTAGATGCACGGCGTCAGAAGCGCCGACAGTGATCTCCATTTTGGGCCCGGGAGTTTGCCATAGTAACCGTGCTGCTAGTGACGCTGGGCGGCAACTTTTTTCTCGTAGATATCTCCATTCGTTCATTGAAAAGTGGTAAGAGACGCTTGGTATGGCGGTACGGCACGGGTCTCTAAAGGAACGGTGCCTGTTTCTTCTGTGAAGTAAGTCGATTTACAGCCCGGGGACTGTCGGGCGACGACAGCTGCTAAGTATCGTAGGTGCACGGACAGGGCGAGTGGTTTTCTGCGCCGCCGGGATGGCAGCCGCTTCGAGGGACGTGCGTACCGTCCTTGTACTTTCAGACTTCGCTCCTAGGAAACAAAATCCGATGAAGCCGGCCACGACAGGACGATTGCATCGGGACATGATTGCTGCTCGTCTGCCCAATAGTAAGCTAATGTATGCCTAGCATCATACTTCTTCAAGACCCAATCATCCATTCAAGATGAGATTATCTTACCGACTGGCGAAGAGCGACGTCGACGACGATCTAACACACGTCTGGACAATGCATAGTCGACGGGGTTAAACCAAAAAGGACAGCATGGTGGTCTCCAGAGGATTGTTAACGTCATCGAAAGAGACGGACGCCTGATATGAGGTGTTCTTGCCGACAGGCCAAGTTGTTGTCCGGAAGTTTACCGGCATGCAAAAAGACAATATTTTTCTCTGGTGTAGCACACACATCCGTGTTAAAAGGGCCAGGAAATGATTTTTTAACTTCTTCCTTAGTTGTAATCCTCAACTCAAAAGCGAACTGTGAAATCACGCGGTCGCAACATGATAGGGCACCGGTGCGATGACCCCAAGCTTCCACCGTGCTTTTTAAGCACACCATAGAACTTGGCATTCGCAAGTGATGATAAGTTCCGTCAGGGCACTCATTGGCCACGAACGCGATTTCAAATATTCGTCAACGAATTGATTGTTGACGAGCGTATACGTCCGAGTGACGCAGTTTTCGTGTCCAATGCGTGAGCTGGGGTCGGCTGACCTTATTTTGGCCTTTGTAGGCATTGCAAGGAGGATATTTAGATTCATACACACATGGTGATAACATCGTAGCACACTGACATTAATGAGCACAAAACGGGCCCAGCTACAGAAAATAAATATTACACTCGTAAGGAATAATTATGTCTGTAACTTGTTAATTACAAAGACGAACACAGCTCTGAGCATTAAGTTTAATAGTATGTGTTGATGCATTGTTATGTAGCAGGATATTTCATATACGTCATTTGAGCAAACACCAGCTTGTCACTTGAAAAAACTAATAAAAAATAACTGCGATCAAATGCAAGCTCATCTATTGCCACGAAAGCACGTTATCTTCAGAACTGCCGATTGGTAAAATCGGCGATTACACTCTGTCTCATCCTACGATGAACTAAAGGCCAAAGCCACGGAGCGCCAGTTCCAATTATGTTCCACGCTATACTATGACACGCTTTACATTGATTAGGGGTGCACGCATAATGCTCGAATCCAGAAGCGCCGCATAATTTCTATAGCTTCGACGCTGCAAAGAGCCTACATCTCGTGACTTTTTTTGCGATGTAAAATTGTTGAGTCACTCAGTGCTCTTCGATTCACACCACTGTCCACCCGTCCCCTCATCAGTGATCCGAGACGCGGGCGCCGATACGTGCATCGAGGCGAAATACCGCAAAATGTCTAAGTGGCTTGTGATTGGATCTGGCGGTCCGTAGCTCTTGCCTTTAGTCCATCGTAGGGTGAGACGAAGTATACACTCCGTGCGCGGCGACCGGCGCGCCGCCGCGCGGCCGTCAGAGAGGACAGGCCGCGAGAACCGAGCTGCCCGAGCAGAAGGAAACAGCGCGGCACCACCGCTTACAGAGGCTTGCACAACTGCCGCCGCGACGCCCAAACTGCGCCGCAAACGCGCTGTTTATTGCGATTATGAATTACTGCGTCGTCGGTTGTACTAATAGGTACACGTCGTGCCCCGCGGGGACGACGTTGTACAGTTTTTCAACTCGTCCGTGCTTCGTCGGGCAGCGGCAAGAGTGGATCAGAGCCGTGCGGCGGAAGAAGTAAGTTCCGCTCCGGATCTTGTCTTCCAATGGATCGTAATGGCGAACTTATCTTCTCCGTCTCGCGTTGTGTTTTGGTTTTTCTTCTGCCACTAACGTTTGCGTATTTCAGTGCCGACGGAACGGACTGGGAGCCGACCCGGCACTCACGGATATGCAGCGTTCATTTCGTCGGAGGTGCGTCCTCGAAGGATGTTTCGTCCCCGTCGTATGCGCCGACGACATTCCCCGAAGAGTACCGCAAGCGTTCGGTGCTCCCTGAGGATAAATCCGGACGCTACGAAAGGTGAGAACATTGTCAAATTGCCGTATTTGAACCTACTTGTTCCGGTCTGTCGGCTGCTTTTAATTAGCATCCTTACAGACGCGGCAATTTTGTTTTCTTTTCGACGGTTTCGGGGAAGCAGTTTTATGACGCTGGTTTCTCGTAGGTCGCGGAAAGACAATGTCAAACGCAACTGCTGCACAGTTGGGTGGGAATGCGAGAACAATTGCAGTGTTTGCTCTATTTAGAAGCCAGGAGCTTATTTGTTGGTATGCAGCCTCACTGTGATTAATGAGAGAAGTGAAGGTGTGATTTCTTTTTCTTAGATACAAGAAACGGAGGACAGCTACTGCAGCTCTGCCCCAGACCTCAACGTCGCTGCCAGACTTGCTGCAAGCTGCGCCACCAACAGTGGTGACCGAGGCTCCTGTGGATCTGCCAGCATCTCCAGCATTCGCACCAGAGTTTGGAGAACCTGAAGTCACTGGACAACATAGTGAAGCTCGTCATCAGGAAGGTGTGGAGGTAGGTTCTCCTCTGCTAACATGAGACTAAACATTTGAGTTTTGCTTTAATTGTAAATATTGTAACATGTCATTGCTTCAACTTCAGGTATCAACTCAAACATCATGGACATCAGAGCCCCAGGATCAGGGTGTGCTGATGATATCCTGCGTCTTCTGGACTGGTGTCTGCGAGGCATCCACCCAGGTTGCATACTTAGCGCACAAGCGACCGACGACTGCTGATGCAAGTATCGCTGCGGTGTGCCTCCAGGATCACCAACCGAAAGGTTTTTATGGTTACCATTCTTTGTTTACAATGCTAAGTCATGTCACGGCAAGCGGAATTGTCTAAATTAGTGACTCCACAGCGGCTGTGCTCAGCTTCTGCGCCATCAGTCTAGGAATGAAAACACGTTAATTCACAGCAAAGCTACGAAAGATCATGCGCAACACTTCAGAAATGCAAGTCACATCTCAACAAATACTGCCCGTGCCAAAGCCTCTCTAATTCTGTCCGCATTCGCGACATGGTGAATGCTCGAGCCTAAACATAAAGAGTCGACGAGAAGGACGCTGTCCCACAAGTTCAGCAGATTTGCACCATTGCTGTAGTTAATGATCGTCGAGCCTGTCCGTGGGGATTAAAGTAGTCGCAGAACATTAGCTCTCACTCATCACAACCAGAGTCTGCGTGTACATCCGGTCTCGGTGTCTCATTACATTCGCCATTTGTACTTCTGCCATACGTCACTTTTCAGCATGGTTCTCAGACAGCCGAGATGAGACTGGCGAGCTGGTCGGATCGGTTGGGGGTTGGGAAAAAGAGCAGTAGGATTCAGTCGATCAGAGACAGAATTCGCAGACAACAGTTTTACTGTCGTAAAAGATGACAATTTGCTGGCAATTATTCTTATCACCACAGAGTGACGCAAGCTTCGTGTAGTAGTGAAGCCAAGAGCTAGTGGGCATTCAGCCATTAGAGTTTGCTAGATACTCTTGGCAGCTACAAGGGACTTCGGTTAAGATTTCACCGCACTTCGAGCAAAAATGTCTGGTCAAAGAAAACTTTATTCTGTTTACATAAAAAGTATTTTCGTTCCAGGTACGTGGGGAGCGATACTTGGATCTGGGTATGGAGAGCAAGCTCCTGCTTTTCCTGGTCAAGATGAAGCATGGACTGACCTTCTCTGCCTTGGGTGTATTGTTTGGTATCCACCGAACCAGTGCATCGCGCATCTTCTACACGATTCTAGATGTGCTCTATGTTAGTACGCAGGGATGGATCCAGTGGTTTTCTAGAGATGTTGTTCATGCATCAATGCCTGCATCGTTCCGGTCGAAGTATCCCAATTGTAGGGTTATCGTCGACTGCAGTGAAGTCCGGATTGAGAAACCGAGCAAAGTCTCTGACAGAGTGAACTGCTGGAGTAATTACAAAAGTGACTTCACGCTCAAATTTCTTGTTGGCATCACGCCATCTGGGTACATTACATTTATTTCAGATGTTTATGGCGGAAGGGCAAGTGACACTTACATCATAGCAAACTCTCGGCTGGTTAACCTGCTAGAACCAGGTGATATGGTTATGGCCGACAAAGGGTTTCCTCACGTGAAGTGCGACTTGGAGAGTAAAGATGTGACTCTCGTTATGCCACCATTTGCAAGAGCTAATGAACAGTTCACGGAGGCAGAGATGAAGGAGACATACAAGGTTGCATCTCATCGAATTCATGTTGAGAGATGTATCCAGCGGATTAAGAGTTTCGCAATCTTGAACCAAAGGTTGACGCCAGAACTCAAATGCCACATAGACAAAATTCTACATGTATGTAGCATGCTCGCGAACCTGCAAGGTCCCGTCATTAAGACTCTGTGAGAGTTTCGAACAGAAATCTGTGCTTCCGATAAAGTACACAGTGCGCAAAAAGACAAAGACCGACGAGAAGGAAGCACACAGGATGAGAGGACGAAAATTAGCATTTGTCGTGTTTGTTCCTTTTTCATCAGTCTTTGTCATTTTGTACAATCAGTCTTCGTCGTTTTGCACGCCGTGTATTTTATCGTAAGCGTGAACCAACTTGCCCACGTTGCCACTATGAATCAGAAATAAATGGTCACACACGTTTTATTTGTGATATTTCAACTGGACATTTGCACTTCGTATTCCATACAGAACAATTTTTCACATATCAGCACTACTCTAGCTGATTTAGAGGCTTTGCCGCTTCAGAACAGCTGGAAAATAGTGCCTAAAAAAAAACCATTCCAGCTTTGGCACAACTTTCTTCAAGAACGGCATGTCCTTCATTACTTTGACACACTCGGACCCCTTGGGTGAGTAGACGTAGAGGTCGCACACATTCGCACCAACAACATACATGCTGACTTGAACTTGTGTGTAGTACACATGGCTTTCTTGCAGCTTCAGCTTTTTCCCCTCGTATTGCAGGTAGTCAACGTTAATGTTCTCGTTAACTACGGGCTTGGTCTCGCACCTAGACGGACACTTGATCTCTAGGAGGCGGACTTCCCCATTCTCTTCCACCAGTCCGTCGGGGCTGCAACACAACCACGGCTGTGGGACGCACACAACAAGTCCTACTTGTATCACCTTTTTCTTTTCCGAGGACTCGTATTCTTTCCTGGCTTCCGGTTCTTTCGCTACACCGTAAGAACATGAGGCACTCTTGAATGACCGTGGTGAGGCAAGGTCTTCGGCCAGGGTATCGAAGTCAGCTGTACGTATTTTCACTCTGTGAGCCTTGGAGCTTGCAGAGATTCTTGGTGCCCGCAAGCGGTGCCATTGTGGGCATGCACTTTGAAGTATTGTCTCTTGTGCAATCTCTTTGCACTCATCCTCGCTGACCATGACAGCGAGAAGAATGTCGTCACATAGCTCCTCACTCAAAATGTCATCTGCGCCAAATATTACCCGCGGTTGTCCGACACGAGGTAGAAGCTTGTTGAGACTTTTGAGGTTCTCCTTCACTTGCTCCTCTTGACGAAGCATAATGCCTAACGGGCAGTTGGAGTTTACAATAGACGCTGGCACCGGTTGTCCCTGCAGCCTGCCATCCGGTAGCTTCGATGCAAACATTTCCGAGAATAGCACACCCTTGTTGTACATTCCAAGCTGCTTTGCCGATGGCCTCTTCCACACATTTGTTGTGGACGTCTTTGTGGAAGTGTCCTCCCTGTTCACGTATGCCACCACTGCTGTCGTGTGCTTGCACTGGCCGCATGTGCCACCTCTACAGGTGCAGTGCGCCTCTGTTATCCTCCTGGTGTTGTCCAGCTGATGACAAAAAGAAAACGTGGATGTAAGACTCCTTAATGTCCAGTCAAGTTCATGCAACATTGTCATTATGAATATCATCAGCACTACACGTTCTCCTGTGCGCCTGGTCTTTTTCTCGGAACAAAAAGATCATGCTCAAAAATATACAACAGCAGGGCAGAAAGTGCAGGAATTTGTTTTTGTTAGGTCGACCAAGGGTTGGAATGGGATGAGTGAGACAACCGTGCAGCAAATGCTGATACATTTATTTCGTTAATGTTCGCCTCCCTCGCGAAAATAGGAAGTGTGAGGAAATTGTCTTTGCAATTCTGATCGGACGTGCGGTCCGACTTTAGGCATCAGCGAAATGATCCCGCTTTGATAATAAAGGAGAGGTCACATTTCGCAGTGGGCTCGAGTCTAGCAATCGATCGGAGTTGCCGAGGCCCTACAGGTGCTGCAGAAGTTTTCTGATCAAATAGCAACGGGTCTTGAGGCTTTTGTGATCGTAGCACCCACTCACGAGATTTGTTTACCCATATCTCTCGGCGCTCGATACGATCGAGTCAGCTACGACGAGGAAGAGCTGGCGTGCACAGAAATCGGCGAAGAAACTAGAAGGCAGTTAAATGAAGGCAAGATAAACAAAGAAAGAGATTGTTACACACCGCAACAAATTGAAGTGAAACATTTCGCGAAAAAGACTCCGTGCGAATTGCCGTGACCCGAAAGGATAAACATCATTCCCAAGATTTCATCTAGGCATTCGATAATCACGAATAGCTCTGAGATTCTGAAGGAGACAATACTAGTAAATACGAATAAATAATTCTGTGAGCATGAAAGAACGCGCACTTACTTTGATCGTTATGGAGTAAGCTTCTTGACAGACGCTCGCCTGTCGCACACACCTTGCCCTCAGGACCGACGACGCCGCCGATAATCTCTCGTTAACGTCGAAGACGTGGCCACTCTCGTAGAGGTCTTCACCCTTTTTCGTAGTGTCATCGCGAAACATCGAGCCTACTAACACGTCTTTAAAACCGGCTCGAAGTACCAAGCCTCCGACTGCGGACGTCTGCGCCGCCATAGCGTCCTGGTGCAAAGGGCGGCTGCAAGCGGCCGGACGAGTCTCGCGAAGCAACACCAGCTCCGCCGCCAGTGGCGCTGCCGTGCAGCCCCACCGCGCCCCCTATAGTTCCCGCACGGAGTGTATAGTACAAAAGGTTAGAGATTGCAGGCGCTTCCTCGCTAAAAGTTGCTGTGATTATTCGGTGACCCATGCTGAAACAACTTCCCCTAGGCCCTACACGCAACGTATACCTTTCGTTTTGATTCTCAGATATTCAAACTTCAAAGGAAGCTACAAAAATGCGAAAATTTTATCCTAAAAGGTATATCGTAAAATCGCTGTTTAGTACAAAACGTAAAGATCGCAGGAGCTTCCTCGCTAAAAGTTTTTGTGATAATGCGGTTACCTGGTGCTCCTTGGGGAAGTTGGGAATTTTCACGAAAAATGAACTCCGAAAACACGGAGCCCTAGCTATGGGTAGGGCTCCGTATTTTCGGAGTTTATTTTTTAGCAAAAATTCGGTGTTTATAGGAGTTTATTTTTCGTAAATCCCCGAGTCTCCGGAATTCGGAGTTTAATTTCGCTGTATTCTCAATAATCCAAAATCTTAGATGAAATGATATCTGAACACGAACACATCAGAACACACGAAACACATTTTAATTGTCTGGAAGGTTTGAATGTACAAACATATATACACAGGCACAAAATACTTGTATACAAAACATGTATGTTTGTTCGTGTTACAACCTTAGAGCTTGTTATAATAGACGCAAGCATACTTTAGGAGGTGTCTGTCGCTGATGGAAGCGCGCTCCTTTCGGTTGATAACTCTCAGCATTGAAAATGCCCTTTCAACGTTTGCGCTAGAAACAGGGAGAGCTAGAAGCCTCAGCGCGCAGCGAGAGAGCACTGGCCACTGGACCGTGTGAAGTCTCCAAAACGACAGGGGTTCAACAATGTTGGTGATTTCATAGCTCTGATAGTTCGCAAAATCACTCATGAGCTGGCTCATGTCGTCAGTCTCAAGAAACACTAACTTGAAAATTTGCTCATAAGTTTCGAACGCGCGGGGCAGCTCGAGCTTCTCATTTGGATTCACAATTTGAACGCTAGCTTTACCAGAACGATTCCCTCGTGTACTGCAGTGCATCGCAAAGGTTCCTCTCAACTTTCTGACTCCACTTTTCAGCGACAGCAGCGTAGTATCCATGAAGGTCTGCAACAGTTGTTGAGCGGTCATTCCCGTCAAGGAGATCTAACAGAGTTTCGACATCCGATGTGAACATCTCAGATGGGTCACGCCATTGACTGAGGAGCGCGCGCAAACGAACTCCCAGTATCGGGTAAACCTGGTGTGCCAGGGTACTCTCTGCCTCAAGTTCCTTCTGGTTGAGAGCACAGCACACGAATTCGACTTAAGAAACCTCAGCTTAATCAGCAAGTCGTGCACACCTTCAGGCGATGAAACAAGAGTTTTGAGCCTTTCGCACTTCTTTCCCTTGGCATCGTCGCTTCTCAAGAAAGACGAAATGGCACGCCAATAGTCCAGAACGTCTTCTGGCTTCATAGAAAGAGAACCACCTAGAAGGACATACAGTCTTCAGCGACTTGATGGTCATGCCCATTGCCACGCACACGAGACCGAAGTTACGGCGCAGCTCCCGCGACGACTTCAACAGGGCAGGAAAGTGCACAACAAAATCTTGGACTACCTTAAATGAGCTCGTCTTAATTCTACCCTCCAGAGCGTTGTTAAGGAGGTGGCACGGATCTTTAAAGTGAAGGGCCTTGAATTCGGGGCTGGAGAGTTGCAAGTCCTTGCGAAGCTTCTGCTTGTAGGAGGCTGAATCGGAGCACAACACAGCTACGTCGGCTAAGGCCTTTCCAACCTTCTGAAGAGCGGTTTGTATCAACATGACAATTGATACTGCGTTGCACTGCTGAAGTACTTGCAAGTCTATCATGAGGGTCCTACGTCCAGGAAGGTCGTCGTCGTAGAAGGTTGCAAGTACCGCCACTGCCGGACGACCGCGGAGTTCCGGCGACTCGTCGACGGTGATGGAGATGGGGCGGTCTTTCATCGAAGAGCTTATCGTCGCAATGTCTTTCTCACTGACCTCATGCAGGTATTTCCGATATAGTTGATCACTACCTGGCATTGTGCGCACAGCCGGACACTTCCTTCAAAAGAGGTTGCCGAGAGGTCCGTCAGCGTGGTGCAGTGGAATCCCAGCATGACAGAGTGGACGGCAAAACTGGTGCGGAATGTCATCCGCGTCTTTTTCTGCTGGATCGGGCCTGAGTGATGCATTCTTCCAGCGAGCTTTGCTGTGACGAGTTGCCTAAGGAATAGGAATAACAAGTCGAAGTTAACAAATTGGCTCGAAATGTGTGATTCCGACCGTGTGAAGTTTGTTAAGACACTTGGCACAGAAGGAAGCATACACAATAAACGGAGAAACCGTGTCAGACTGTAAGAAGGATTCTACATACAGTTTCACATAGCCGTAAATTCAGAGCACCCACAGTTAAGAAAGGACTCACCTGTGTCTAGACGGGGCTTCTTCAGCTGGACGTGGCGTTGTGGTTGCAGATGCTGCGCAATTATCAAGGCGCCCTTGCCGTTGTTAATGCTAACTGTCACACGACAATACTTGCGGCTGATTCAGTTGACGCTGATTCTTCAAAATCACTAAATTCCTTTACATAGTCTCTGGAAAGCTTTCGTTTCCTTCCAATTTTGTTTGCCCAAAATGTCTGCTTCACGCGCTACAGATATATGGGGGAACCGCGCAAGTTGAAGGTGGTAATAGAGGAGCTTCAGCCCCACAACCCCTCGCCCACTGTTAAATCGAGGCAGTCATGGCATCCACTGTTACAACACCATCCCTTCTCCCTTTAAAAAAGCGAAATGGTATGGTCTAAACCAGAAACCGGAACAATGACTAGCACTGACGGGTGCTTAGATAGCCTTCTTTGACCCGGAACTACATTGGCCCCTTGTCCTCAGCAAAAACTGGGGAAACGAAAGAGGGCAAACTAGCCCCTCCTCGGGACCGCTGGCCGTTCACACCTATCTATCGGACATTTTGTTGTCCGAACTTGGACCATCACGTTTTGCCACCGTGACCTCTAAAATCTGAGTTTATCGGATAAATCTGAATTGTTAAAAATTTTACCGGCGAATGTTTTTCGGATTTTTTCGGATTTATCCGAAAACACGGAGCCCTAGTTATAGAGTAGAGTTATTTATCAAGGGGAAAATATGATAAATGTCTAAATTATGGATGGATGGATGGATGGATGAATCCGGCTGAACCCTTTGGATGGGGCGGTAGCCTACACCACCTAGCCATTTTGTTTTACCATTTACGGTTAGAATATTAAGTGTGTGACTGCAGTGCCTGCAGAAATTAAGTGTGTGACTGCAGTGCCACTTAATGGTCGTCGTAGTCCCTAGCTCTTGGACCGCGAATCGGCTCGAGTGGCCACTCTTTTCGTTTACTGGGTTACTCTATGGTGAAAGGGGGAAGGTCTCATCCGGGTCCGGCCATACCCGTCCGGCCCTGTCCCCCTCCGCCTCCGGCTTCTGGCGGCTGTTCGCGGTTGCAGATAGAGCTGACGGTTTTGTGGACCTTGGATAGATGGCGCCACTTAAACTCCGTATAATAAAAGTTTTGTCGATGATACCAGGTTTTTGACGCTTTTATATTTATGTTGGAACGACAAGATTTATAGAAAAGTTACCTTTTATCGAGCAGGCATTCGTACAACTTGCTATCTTTCTACAAAAACTCCATTGACGTCATGCCGCGTGTTTCTCATGGCCGCCGCT